TTTCCCTCCTCCATCTATCTCTCTCTCCCTCCTTCTTCTTCCTCCTTCCTCCTCCTCATCTTCTTCTTCACATACGAGAGTAGGAGAGGTTAGCAGTAGGTGATACAGGCAGAGGTTATGCTGGGCACATTTCCCAGGATCTGATTCGACATTTCTGGGACAGACATTGATTGGACACTCGGCAAGGGACTACTTTTGGGACTTCGCTATCGCGATCTTGGTCTACTCCCTCGCCTCCTCTCTTTCGTCTCGTCCCTTCCCCCCATCTCTCATCCGTGGTATCTCCCCATGTATGTGTGTGAAGGAGGGACCTTTCTTCTGTGATTGCGGTCCCTCCTCCTCTCTCACATGTGTGATGTATGATGGATGTCGGGTCAATCCAGATCAGATCAGATCTTCTCTTTAAGTCTTCCACTGCGCCACTTTGTGCCATATTGTATGTATCGGAATGTACATTGCTTGTTGATGCTACACTGACCTTGCATTGTCCATTTCAGTCCTTTTCATCACATTGCGGATCCTTGGCTCCCTACGCATTGTCCCATTGGGCATGCGTCACTTGCGAAGGGGCCATGCTAATCTTCTCTGCATCGTTCCATTTTTAACGGATGTCCCGAAGGATTATACTATAATTACTAATTAGTAATTAGGCACTAAAACGTTTCTTCCTTTCCTTTAATGGTAAGTTCATAGATCTTTCATAGAAATTCATATGGTGATTAAAGGCTGGAGCTGCTTCCTCATGATCCACTCACCCGCTCAGTATCATCTGGCCCTTTGCACCCCTCTACCTCCTTCCGCCGCTCTCGCCCCTCCGCCCCTCTCCGCCCCTCTCGGTCCCTCTCCGCTCCTCTCTGCACCCCCCCTCCCTTACCCCACGGTCCTCTCACCATGACCTCCCGCTAATATCCTTCGAGAAGCTGTCATCCCGTAGCTTGGCTGCTGTTACTTTGATTACTCAACCCCTATACTCACACTAAGACTGTCCTCGACGTATCGGGCCACAATCACGGGGACTGCGTTAAAAACATGTTCGTCGGTTTCTTGACTACTCAATCTCCAAGGGCATATACTCACACCAGGGACTTTTTCTCAACAAATCTGGTTGTGAATCAAGGCCACATGCGTTTGAAAATGTTTGCCTGCTCCTTGATTACTCAATCTCTAACAAGGGCATGCTCACGCTGGGGCTTTCCTCGATAACCCCTGTGCTCTCCTGCTGTTGCTGCTACCTGGTTTTCAGAATTGTCCGAGAACTATCCCCCTACCTTTTTTTTTTCTGTCTTTTTTTCCCTTTTTTTGGAAAAAAGTTTGCTTTTATATTTTAGTCTGGAAAACAGGTTCTGTGTCCCTTACAACATTTGACAGAACCACACCACACTTCTCTTCGTGATGGCCAAGAGAACCTGACACAGCAGCATGGATGGCTTCCATGATAGGAAGGATCAACCCCTGTAATTTATTTATTAAATTATTTATTTATTAAATTATTTATTTATTTATTTATTATTTTTAATTATATTTGCAGCAATTTTGCTGTAATTTAACAACATAGTATATACTGTATAGTATATACCCTTTATGACCTCTACGGCTGGAAACTGGGTCCAGTGTCCCCCTATAGACTTCCCATATTACTGACCTTTGAAGATCACGATAGACTCGGATAGAGATGTTGCTGCTACCTTTTCTTGTCCTTTCTTCCTTTCTTTTTTCATTGATTTTGCTGCTACTACCGTCTTCACCCGAACAGAACGCCCGGTAATTAATGCTGCGTCTGGACTGAAAGTTGCATCAAATACAGCTATAACGACCGGGCGTTCTATTCGGGTGAAGACGGTAGGTGTTCTGATGCTAATTAATAATTATCTATACTGATCCAATAGCCTTGTCTGTGTTTTTTTTTTTTGTGTGTGTGTTTAACCAGATTCCGCGTTCCATTAAATCCATTTCTAATTACGGAGTGGGCCCAAACGACCCAGTTTCTGATTCCCGCCAATGGTTGATTACGTATCGGCTAGCCATCTCTTCTGATTCTCCAATGAACTATCCTTGATTCTTCGGAGGAGAAGGCCAAGATCTGTCTGATCAAGAGGGATACCCCCTGTTGCTGCCACAACCCTACGTGCGTCAACAACCGTCCGTTTCTCAATCAATATCATATCACAGCCGTACATTGCTCGCAGTAAAGAGGGCATTCATTCCGCTGCAACAACCATCCGTGCTGATGGTCCAAGTTACACCCCTGATTGCTGGCAGTGTCTGGATCTGTTTGCGTGGTGGTTGAGGAAGATGGTGACTTACACCTCGTTGGTGAGCGCTCAATTTGTCCACTATTGGTGAGAAATTTGATACTGTCTTCAATTAATTAACAAATAATTTCCATGCAAATAGATCTAGTAGCAGCATAACAATCTCCTGCTTTTCTTCAACACTCCCCTTCCCCCAGCCCATATGATTGAGTGGTACACACATGTAACTGTTAATCAAGAGATCATGAGTTCAAATCCTGAACATAATCAGATCGATACAATAACTTTAGGGGCTACCCCTTCAAAAGGGGCGGGCAGGGAGAGGGGGGGCCGGCAGGGGGGGGTTGTGTTCACCAACCAGCAGCTACGAGTCCGCCACCTCCTTCCTCTACAGACAACCTCCACACAGCTATGACCCGCCGCTCCCCCCTCCCCCCCCCACCACACACACACTCTCTCTGTCAATCTAGTGAGCGCTCAATCTCTCCACTATTGGTGAGAAATTTGATACTCAAATTAATTAACAAATAATTTCCATGCAATTTGATGCAAATAGCTCTAGGAGCAGCGTAACAGTCTCCTGCTTTTCTTCAACCCCCCCCCACCCACCCCCTCTCCGTGCCCACCCCTTTTGAAGGGGTAGCCCCTAAAGTTATGGTATTGATCTGATTATGTTCAGGATTTGAACTCATGATGTGTTGATTAACAGTTACATGTGTGTACTACTCAATCATATGGGCTGGATACTGCAAGGAACTCACATTGCAGAAACTCAATTGACACGCACAATGCGCTCTCATGACCAGTATTCGTATGGCGACAAAGCAATTTCTTTTAGAAGAAAGAACAAAGCAATGACCACACCAGCACAGGATCAACAATGCTGTAGTCGCTTGATGATGAAAGCTTGAGAAGTCAGAAAAGTCACCCGTCTTTTTCTTGCCTCCCAACAATGGATTCAACAAGGATGACATTTCCGTGCTTTTGCTACCATCTTCCCCCAATTACAATGCCCGGTCATTATAGCTGTATTTAGGCCAACCTTCAGTCTAGTAGGTACAACGATAATGACTGGGCGCTTTTTTCGGGTGAAGACGATAGTCTCACTACCATCTTAGTATGTGATCACCTACCCTAGCCTAGCCTATACTATGCCAATGTAAGATGCTGCAAAGTACAATGCTTCTCAGACTGATGCCTGAACGTAGAGGTCATCTCGGTGAAAGGATTTCACGCTGTCAGTCCCGAGTCCCATTTACAGAGTCCCAATTGGTCTCGAACCTAGGCTGTCCTTAAATTGCTGGTTGGCCACCAGCTCTGATTGAGATCCGTAGTGATTGGCGTGGGGAAGGGTAATCAGGACTGGTCAACCCTTAGAATTAGGTAAGATTTAAGTGTTGAGGGTTGTATGTTTTGAGGGCTAGGTCTACGTGGTGAGGAGGTGGAGCAAACTTACGTGCTGTGCTAACACATCACCATGGATGACTATCCCATGTTCGCTTTCCTCGCGTTGCCCGTGATTTGGGCACCGTACACCAAGGATGAACTAGTGGAGACACCACCTCATATAGTATCCTACTATGAGTGTGCTAGAAAATGTATAAACATTATAGACAGGTAAAGATAAGATCTTTCTTGGAGGACCTTGAAATTAGGCTGGCAGGAGTGAAAGGAGTTCACGCTGTCAGTCCTGAGTCCCAGTCCCAGAGTCCCAGTCCCAGAGTCCCAATTGGTCCAGGCCTCAGGCTGTCCTGAGTCCGAGGGTCCGTAGGTCGAAATGTGGTGAAGCAAACTTACCAGATGTACTAACACATCACCATGGATGACTATCAACACCTTCGCTGCACCAGCCACCATCAGCAAGCAGCTGAACGCCTTGAAGACCGAGGTTCAGCAACTGCACCAGCTGCCCAACAAGGATGGCAACACCAGTGCGCAGCACTACAAGATGCCGACATTCCGCATTAAAAAGTTCGATGATTATACGCATCAAGACCCGGTCCCCTGGTGGGAGGGCTTTACGACGGAACTTCGGATTCTTTTTGTCCCCGAGCACTCGTACATCGGCGCGCTGTTCCTCAGCTCAAAGGGCGGATGCCAGATTTGGCTCAGCCACCTGGCAACCATCCACGGCGTCTAGGTCGTCGATCTACATGAGAAGATCTCTTGGGAAGAGTTGACGAGGCTATGGAAGAAGCGGTTCATCGTGGGCGACGCCCCGACGCTCGCCATCAACCGCCTCTTCAGCATGACCCAAGGCAACACATCGACACGCGACTGACTCACCGAATGGCAAAAGATTGCTGCAACGCCCGATCTCGAGTTGCCATTTTCGCATCTGCGCCGGGAGTTCTACAACCGATCATGTGTGGCCTTGAGCCTCGCACTTGGTGATCGCGAGCAATACACGACCTTCGTCGAAATCATCGACAAGGCAAGGGAGATCATCAAGACCAATAGGGCGGCTGCACACGAGAAGTCAGCGTGGCATCCAACCTATGTGGAGAAAGGAAAATTTGGTCCGCGTCCGCAGCATGTCGCTGCAGTCCAACCGGACAACATTGTGGAAGACCCAGCAGCCACCCAAGCATCACGTGAGGGAGATCAGGTAGCCGCTGTCCAGCCGCAAAGCAACAACAATTCCCGAGGAAAAGGGAAGGCGAAAACCGCATCGCTGGCTGGAAACGGACAGCCAGCACCATGGGTCAAGTTTCACTTGACCGAGGCCGAATACAAGTGGCGCGGCTGGTATGGCTGCTGCTATTGGTGCAACAGCACCAAGCACGAGACCTCCCAATGCCCGGATCAAGGCAAGGAGGATGTTCGACACATGCTGGATAGATTCGTACTCATCTACCTCAACTACATTTTGGTGTACAGCCGGAGTTTGGACAAGCATGTGGAGCACCTGCGCACCGTTTTGGAGCGACTACGACAAGCCAAGTACAAAGCCAACCGCAACAAACGCGAATTCGCGCAGCAAGAGTTGGAGTACTTGGGACATTATGTGACGCCGCGAGGCATCCGTCCGTTTGCGGACAAGATCGAGGTCATCCACGTATGGCCCGAGCCCACCAACACCACGGACGTTCGCTCATTCATGGGGTTGGCGGGCTACTATCAACGCTTCATCACCGAGTACTCAAGGATTGCGGCACCTATGACGAGATTACAATCGCCAAAGGTGCCATTCGTATTTGATGACGACGCATGCCGGTCATTCCGAGCACTCAAGACGGCCATGCTCATGACACCCGTCCTTAGCATCTACGACCCCACCCTGCCAACGAGAGTGACAACTGACGCTTCCGGCTAGGGCATTGGGGCAGTCTTGGAACAACACGACGGCGACGACTAGCACCYCGTGGAGTATTTCAGCCACAAAGTGTCTCCCATCAATTCACTTGATGATGCAAGGAAGAAGGAGCTGCTCGCGTTCGTGATGGCTCTCAAGCGATGGCGACACTTCCTCCTTGGGCGTCGTAGGTTCACATGGGCACGAACAACAACCCATTGACCTACTACAAGACGCAGGATACGGTGAGCAGCACGATCGGACGATGGATGTACTTCATCAACCAATTTGACTTCACACCGAAACATCTCGCCGCCCTCTCCAATCGCGCAGCAGATGCACTCTCATGAAGACCCGATCTTTGCGCTATGACACATCATGCCTTTGCGTTCGACGAGGAACTCCAGCGACCCTTCATCCGGGGCTATGAGTCCGATCCGGATTTCGCCACGTTATATGCGCAACTATCTTTGGATCACCCACCGGCCAGCCACTATCGCATCGTCGGCGGGTACGTGCTCCTCCACTCGCGAGGCAAGGACTTATTATGTGTCCCACGAGACCGTCGTCTTCGGACTCGCCTTCTTAGCGAGTACCATGACTCGCGACTCGCCGACCATTTCGGAGGCAATCGCACTATTGCACGACTTCGGCAACGATTTCGATGGCCCGACCTCATTACTGATGTCACTCAGTATTGCGACTCTTGCGAAATTTGTCCACGAAGCAAGCCCCGCAACCGCAATCCCTACGGTGAGTTGCGCCCGATGCCTATCCCACAGGAACCCGGCCTCTCCATTGCCATGGACGTCACCAGACCGTTTCCCCGTGACCGCCTCGGGCACGACGACATCCTCACAGTCGTTAACCGATTGAGTAAGAATGCGCGGTTTCTCCCTTGCAAGTACTACTCCACGGCTCCCGAACTTGCGCGCCTCTTGCACACCGGCTGGATTTGCAGCCACAACGTACCAGAAGACATCGTCAGCAACCGCGACACTTGCTTCATGTCGGCATTTTGGACTTCTCTCATGCAGGAATCCGGCACGAAGATGAAACCAAGTTCGGCTCGACATCCACAAACGGACGGGCAAACGGAGCCGGCACATCAAACTGCTCAAATGATGCTTCGTATGCTCATCCGTCCCGATAAGAAAGATTGGGTTGACTACCTCCCCGACATCGAGTTCGCCTACAACACTTCGTTGCACCCACCGATCGGTGTGACTCCATTCGAGTTGCACCACGTTGGCCGAAAAGGTCATATCTTCGCTGATCTTCTCCTCCCACGACCAGCTGACATAGACGCTGCTTGCTCCCCCGCTTTCGTTCGGAAGTACAGGGAATTGTTGGCTCAAGCCCGCGCGAACATGCAAAAGGCTCAAGTTCGCATGCAGCAGCAAGCCAACAGGCGTCGCGTGCCATATCCCATCCGCGCCGGTGATCTGGTTTGGGTCTCGCAGAAGAGTATGCACTCGAGCAGGATGTTTCGCGCAAACTACTCCCCAAATGGTTTGGACCATGGCCCGTAACATCAGCCGCGATGGCTCCTCATTTGTGATCAACATTCCCCCGCATCTGACGGTCCATCCAGTCTTTCTTGCCTCGAAGCTGGTGACATATACACCAGCTAAGAGCGACGACTTCCCGGGTCGACGATCGCAAGTTCCTCCATCTATGGATGGTCATCAGGAAGTTGACCGCGTCATCACGGATCGCAAGTACGGCAGTAAGCCTCGACAGTACAAAGTTACATTCAAAGTGTGCGATCCCGACGACACTCAATGGATTTCAGGAGCAGATTTGAAAGCATCCGCACCGCTGATCTGCGCTCACTACGAGCGACAAAGGTTAGCTCAGGGAACTTCACGACCTGCCCCTCCCACCCGGACTGTGGTCCCTCCCTCAGACAGACAGCTTCACCCTCGCAGGTAAGCTCGGTCTTTAAAGGAGGGGGGGGTGTGGCATACTGCGCAGCCACACGGGCCTGCGGGGCCCGACCAGCGTTCTCAGCCTAAAAGCCTGAAAACAAGGGCTTACAGGCCCTGTGTTGTTTCAGCCAGAAAGCCTGAAAACGAGGGCCTTCAGGCCCTATGTCGTTTCAGCTTTAAACAGGACCTTCCAGGCCCTGAGTCTTTTCAGCCTGAAACGGAGGGCCATTTTCGGGCCCTCATAAGATGGACCTGCCCTGACACTCAGGCACCAAACCAGGGTTTTAGGAACAGGCTATTTTTGGCCTGTTCCCACGACAGCCTCAGCAGGAGCTGCGGCGCCAGACCCTGGCTCACTTTGGCATTGGCAAGAGCAGCCTCCTGGACTGCCCCGCCCTGCAACTGCAGCCAGTCGGAGGCAGTCAGGAGGCAGGCTGAGGTAGTACATAGGGAGTTCCCATGCACTTCACGGGTAGGCAGAAGGCAGGATTAGTCTTCAGGATTCGGCAGCAGCACTCTGGAGGAGCGCTGCAGGAGTAACTTTAGCGCTAGCAGTAGTCTTCAGCGCTGGGCGCTAGTAGCTGTAGTGGTAGTCTTCAGCGCTGGGTGCTGGTAGTAGGAGAGTAGTGTTGGAGAGAGAGATGGCTGGCAGAGGCCAGGGAGACTTACCTGTGGCACCATAGCTCCAGCTTCATCTTCGAGGTACCTGCATCAAGGGGCCAACTTCACAGGTTAGTACCGGACTGAGAGAAGAGAGAGTTCTTCTTCTTCCTCTTGTAAGTCCACCATCTCTTCTTCACCCTCTCGCTACCTGACTTCTCAGTATCTGCGGACTACGAGAGAGAGAGGGTTGTGACTTTGAGACTTGACGACATTGGATCCCGACTCGACATGGGGATTCAGACATTTGACGAGGGATTATTTGGGACCTGTACCGAAGACTTGGTGTTGACGACATTCCCATCTTCCCTTCTTCTTCGTCTAAACCCCTCTTCTTCGTCTGTTTATGGTTGGGGACTGGCGCATTCTTCCTGTGTGAGCGCCAGGCCCCTTCACACCATGGAATGATGATGATGTATGTTTGAGGCTGCATTGCCACATTGATTGTTCGGATCATTGGTATCTAAGTCTTCCGCCTGTCTCTTATACACATCTAGATGTGTATAAGAGACAGGAGAGAGAGAGAGAGAGAAATGGGTTTCCTGGTGCTTCACCTGCAATCATCATTGCTCAAAAGATCATGGTTTATTTCACAATTCTCTGTCTGTGATTGGACATTGGTGGCCCCCTCAGAAAGGGTCAGAAACTTCAGTCTGGTTGTGTTTGGTGATTGAACATGCAGGAAGTATGAGATGGCTGTTCAGCAGGAGGAGGAGCTCTTCAAAGAGGAAAAGAGAAGGATAGAAATGGAAAGGAAGAGAATTGAGGAGACTGAACAACAGCAGGCCTTAGAGGCAGCCAAAAGGGTGAGTCCACACCTCCCCCCCCCCTGGACGCAACTGGTAATGCTTGCATCTGACATTAGGTTTCACTTTGACATGGTCAAACCCCGTGCCTTCTTTTTTTTTCCCCTTTTTTCGAGTGCCTCCTTCTCAATGCGATGAATCCAACGTTAGCATTAAGTATTTATTTATGACTCTCTTTGACTCTTACTAACATATAGATTGAAATAAAAGCAGTCATTCTGCCGAGCATATAGAATCACATTTATCAGGTTAAACCACCAGTACTTCCGAGGTACTTTTCTCCGGGGCTGGAAATGTGCTGGGCGCCAAAAAAAAAAATGAACCGGTGTGGGCCTCCTTTTGGCTGGCGCCCGGCCAGGCGTGGAGGTGGGCAGGTGGGCAGGCAGGGAGGCACAGGTAGGGAGGCAGGCAGGGAGGGAGGCAGGGAGGCAGGCAGAGAGGCAGGCAGGCAGGAGGGGGGGAGGGACGGAGGGAGGGAGGGAGGCAGGTAGGTAGGCAGTTGGTAGGCGGGTAGGTCTGTAGGTCGGTCGGTACTGACTTGGTAGGTACGTCAGTAGGTAGGTAGGTCGGTAGGCCAGTATGCAGGTAGGCAGGTGGGCAGGGAAGCAGGTAGGCAGGTAGGTAAGTAGGTAGGTAGGTAGGTAGGTAGGTAGGTAGGAAGGTAGGTAGGTAGGTAGGTCAGAAGGTAGGTAGGTCGGCTGTGGGTAGGTAGGTCGGCAGGTGGGTAGGTAGGTCGGTGGGTGGGTAGGTAAGTAGGTGCGTAGGTAGGTAGGCGGGGGGTAGATAGGTAGGTAGGCAGGCGGGGAGTAGATAGGTAGGTAGGTAGGTGGGTAGGCCGACAGAAAGGGAGGCAGCCAGGGAGGTATGTATGGATGCATGGATGCATGTATGTATGTATGTATGTATGTATGTATGTATGTAAGCATGCAAGTATGGATGTATGTAGGCATGTAGGCATGTAGGTACGCACGTATGTATGTACCAACGTAGGGATGTACATGGGTATGTGAGTATGCACATATGTATGTGTGCATGTACACATCTATAATGTAGGTATGTGTGTATGGAGGTACGTGTCTATGTATGTATGTACTTCATACATATGTACGTCATGCACACATGAGTATGTACGTCTGTACGCACGTATGTACGTGCGCACGTAAGTGTGTCCATATATTTTTTATCGACGTGCATGTGTGTGTTGTCATGTTTGGCATAAACGGCACAAAAATAGAATGATTGTGCCAGATGTATGTGTATGTATGTGTCCATGTGCTTGTGTGTGTGTGTGTGTGTGTGTGTGTGTGTGTGTGTGTGTGTGTGTTATAAATTATCACCACAACTTCCCTTATTCCACCCAGATGAGTAGATCCGAAGTCATAACAACTTTTCCTGTATTGCAGACAATGAAGCATTCTCAAAGATGAGCCAATCCACCAATGAACCAGTTTTGCTTGTGAAGTCAATATCTATTCAAAACCTTACCTTTAAACAAGCAAGGAATCTCACCTTTACACAAGCAATGCAACACACTTGAGATGGGCCAACCCAGCAGTAAAAACAATACGAGACACAATAAATTC